AGCCACCGTTGCAATCCATCAAGGTATTCCGTGTTAACGAGCTCGTTGCTCTCAACATCCTCGGCCCATTTCTCACTACTATAAGGGGAAACTAATTTTTGCTCATCGGGGTGGAGTACCTGTCCCGGTGGCCGGTGGCATGGCCTTTGCTGGATCAGTCGGTCGCGTCCATCATGTACGCATTCTTACACGGCTATGTTTTAGATAAGGGAGCCCCGGAACGTCTCCTTACAGACCAAGGCCGAAATTTTTATTCCATATTATTAAAGGTGTGTGACTCCCTGGGTACTAAAAAGATCCGGACGTCGCCCTACCATCCCCAGACTGACGAGATGGTCGAGCGCTTGCACAGGATGCTTATGTCCATGCTGCGTCAACAGGTCGAGGCACAGTTCAATTGGGATTTGCACGTTCTGGGTGTTCTCGTCGCGTACAGAAGGCCCCTCACGCCTCAACGGGGTTCTCCCCCTTTTTTCTCATGTATGGGAGGGAATGTGATCCCCCCATGAAGGCTCAGTAAAACATGGACCCGGGCAAAAAGGTCGCTGTGACCATGCAGCTTACAATCAGGCGGCTGACGGACACACGGGAGGCGTCTTAGGGAAATTCGGCCCAACAGCAAGCTGCCAATTAAAAGCTTGCGGGACTTAGTGGATCCGAAAACCCATGAAACCCTGGGGACAAGGTGTGGCTGCATTGCCCCCAGGTGCCCATGGACACATCTGCTAAATTGCATAAGCCATGGCAGGGCCCGGTTGAGGTGATTGAGGTCAGGAGGCTGCAGTACGTGCAAATTCAGTTCGGTCGCAGGTGTTGGTATGTGCACCCATCATGGTTGAAACCTTATTTTCTACCTTGTGATGTCACTTCATCCCAACTTCCTGAGGGCCGGGTGTCTAATGTGACCGATGGGCCCGGATGTATGTTTGCAGAGGGTGCGCCTCAGCAGGACTCCGTTAGTTTGCCTACAGGATCCTAGCACCTGACACCCACGGAACCACCAGCGGCACCGTCCACAGATGGACCAGGGATGACAGAACAGCCACCATCCGCTTCTTCTTCCCCTTCATCTTCTTCCCGGGAGGGGCCGCGCCAATTAGGCTATTTACATATCGTCCCGGGAGTCCCCAGGAAACCCATTCTTATCCCGCCCGGGGGCCCGGCGACGAGGACCCGTTCCAAAACTGTTCGGTTCAGATAGCCCGCCCCCTTTCTGTTGTTCTATCTATTCCCAGACGCGAGCCGGGCTGTGGATGTCGGTTGATCGGAGGTCTTTCCCGATATTCGCGGGCTGCGGCACGCCGACAGTCGTCAGGTATTGTTGTACCCCTGGGGGCTGGGTTTATTGCTCTGTGTTCGCGATTGTTAATTGTCCCGGTTGTCAGCGTTCTTGTTGTTCCGCTACGTGGGAATGGAGGCAGTTATTGTTGTTGTTGTTCCACTACACGGGGTATGGGACGGCTAATTATATTTTTTTACAGAGAGGAGTGATTTAGTGACATGAAATGGGTCACTACATAGCATAGTGTGGGTTTCTGGCAAAGAAGGGGATCTGCAGTTGCATCAGCCCTGTCTGTCAGCAGGTAACATAAGCCAGAGAGGGATGTCAGGCAAAGGTGATAGGGGGGGCACTTGAGGTAAGCCCGGGAACCCACGAGTAGGGTCTAGAAGGGGGCGTGGCTGGGGCGGAGCGAGGCCACGCTGGGAGGATAAAAGGGGACCCCGAGCGAAGGCTCGGGGCTGTGGCTAGGAATGGAATTACGTCATGCTGCTGGAGTCTTTAACACCATCTTTACCTTCTCGGCGTTGTCAGTTAGGCAGTCTGTTAGCTGTCCTTACTGAAAGTGTAATTACCCTTTGTACTGTGTAGAGGCGATAATAAATAGAGTGCCTCCTACTCCTAGTTTCTCTTGAGTGCATCACTTCACGTATATGAAATTCTAATTTGTAAAGATGAGAATGGATGATAATAATAATATAAAGCAAGTAGAAAGTAGTATGTGGATACAATGAACTGTGTAGACGGCCAGAGAAAAGAAGTTAAGACTCGGGTACAGCTATGGAGGAGGAGTCATCTCCCAGGAAGTGGCAGTTTTTGGAGAGATTCTACAAAAGGCCAAGGTTTCTGAGAGCACATAAACAAGAGTAAAGTAAATGAGAGGAGTCAGGTAATTAGGGTTGAATCCATGGAGAATATGGAAAATGTGAGGGCAGTAACACTGAAGTTTATCTGGGGCTGGATTAAGAGCCCTGGGAGGAATCTGAGAATCGAGGTGATATGATCTCATATATAGGTCCTGGTTGAGGGGTTTGCCAGCACCATTTTTGAACATTCATATGAGAATAAGATTTAGAGGAGAGATGCAGTCATTAGTGTTCAACGTGATGAATGCTTGAATGTCTCATTCAATCATTCATAAACATCTGACATTTGGTCAAAGCAGACGTTTATCTCAGAGTGCTTGGAGCTCTTGGAGTGAAACGTCACCGTGTGTCGATTTTGATTTCAGTCATGGAACGTCTCAAGCCACCGGTGAGGAGCAGCTTTGTCGGTCAAAATGTGATCAACGCGTTGGCAACGTGTGGACAATATATTTGTGTCAACGCGACGATCTCATTGGGTGGTAGAGGGTTGACAACAAGAATTCTGGCATGCAAATACCACAATGTGGCCGAACCCAAACACAAATGGGAATCTCATTGTGTTGACTACAAAAAACACACGTTCAACTCTGTATAGAAACTCCTGCACTCTGTCTACAACCACCCCGCTATTCAGGGAGAGCAGAGGGGAGTGTTTGATAAGGAAAAGTGCTCAGGCATTTATTTTGTTTTAGTGTGGCTGATAGTCAGGCCCCATATCTTCATGCGAAGCTCCAAGTTCAGCAGCATGCTCTCTTATGTCCTCAAAACGAGCAGCAGCATGAACTCAGGTTATGAGCGTACACCAGATGAATGACAGCCGTCACAAACACGTGCATACAAAATCAGACAAATTACACGTCCCCCACAATAATCACGCCAGTTCTGAAAGTAAACACAGATATATTATTGGTTCTTTCGGGAAAGTCACATAGATAGAAAACAAAAATGTAAATTAAAAAGAAAAAACCCACGACGTTTCGATCGCAACACAAGCGGTCTTCTGCAGGTGGAGAGAAAAGAGGGGGCACGCTTCCAAATGCAGCTGCTTATAAGGGCTCCAGAGTGAGTGGGCGGGGGAAAGGGCTGCGCGAGCAGACAACGGGGGGTGGGGGGGAAGAAATTAGGATAAAAGGGCTGCGAGAGAGACAGGGTGAGAGAGATGAGGTGGGGCAGAGATGGGGGGGAGGGTTAGAGATGAGAGGAGGGAGGAATTGCACCTCGGTACACCCATCAGAAAATTGGAGGGGGGGGGGAAGAATGGGACAGAGACAAGGTGAGAGAGAGGGGGTGGAGCAGAGATAGAGCGGGGAGGGGTAGAGATGGGAGGGGGGAATAGCACCTCGCTACGCCCATCCACACTGCTGACGGTAGAGGTTGACAAGGAAACACAAATTCAAATCATGACCCAAAGTGGTTGATGAGATCTTTCCAATGATTGCGGCGTTTAAAACCATCGTCTTGGTTGAAATTTTGTTTGTGTCTGTATATATGGATGGCTTTGTGAACGAATCTTTGTTGATAGCCAGTCGGCTTGCAAAGTACCATCGTTTTAGAGAAATAAATTTACTGTGAGCCAGCCGAAGCGGTCATGTTATCTACATGTTCCCAATCAGATGTAGACATTTTTTTGTGTCAATGTTACGTGTAAATTCAAGAGTGCCTTGTCTGCATGATCCAGTTCAGTGCGGAGCAGTCTAATTTATTCAAAGATCAGGGCCAAACTAGCTCTAAAGAAAATTCGTTTGGCATTGGAAGATGTGACAGCAGCAGAGGTGTGAATGAAGTCGGTATTACCTTAGAGTCACGGCATCTCCAAATAACCATAAAATATCTTATGGTTATGTGGAAACCCTCCCCGTAGAGGCAGTTAAATTTAGACTTAAAACTTTCGTGACTGCAGGAATTCATATTATTGGTTCTTTCGGTGAAGTCACATCTGATTGGAAACATCTAAGGTAATACCGACTTCATTCACCCCTCTGCTGCTGTCACATCTTCCAATGCCAAACGAATTTTGTTTAGAGCTAGCTTGGCCCTGATCTTTGAATAAATTAAACTGCTCCGCGCTGAACTGGATCATGTAGACAAGGCACTCTTGAATTTATACGTAACATTGACACAAAAAATGTCTACATCTGATTGGGAACATGTAGATAATATGACCGCTTCGGCTGGCTCACAGTAAAGTGATTTCTCTAAAACGATGGTACTTTGCAAGCCGACTGGCTATCAACAAAGATTCGTTCACGAAGCCATCCATACATACAGACACAAACAAAATTTCAACCAAGACAATGGTTTTAAACTCAGCAATCATTGGAAAGATGTCATCAACCACTTTGGGTCATGATTTGAACTTGTGTTTCCTTGTCAACCTCTACCGTCAGCAGTGTGGATGGGCATAGCGAAGTGTAATCCCCCACCTCCCATCTCTACCCCTCCCCGCTTTATCTCTGCTCCACCCCCTCTCTCTCCCCCTGTCTCTGCCCCATTCTTCCCCCCCCCCCTCTCATTTTCTGATGGGTGTACCGAGGTGCAATTCCTCCCTCCTCCCATCTCTACCCCTCCCCCCCATCTCTGCCCCACCTCCTCTCTCTCCCCCTGTCTCTCTCGCAACTTTTTTATCCCAATTTCTTCCCCCTCCCACCCCCCGTTGTCTGCTCGCGCAGCCCGTTCCCCCGCCCACTCACTCTGAAGCCCTTATAAGCATCTGCATTTGGATGCTTGCCCCCTCTTTTCTCTCCACGTGGGTTTTTAATTTTCATTTTGATTTGTTTTCTATGTGACTTTACCGAAAGAACCAAAAACATGAATTCCTGCAGTCACGAAAGTTAAGTAAAAACAAAGTTCGATACCTTTAGAATTAGATTCATCAGGAAACCCACGCCAAGTTGAAAATTGTCTTTTCCCACACTTTGAGATGCATCAATCAGGAGATAAACATTCAGTTTCTCTTCAGTGTTACCTGAAAAATAAGCAATAATTTGTACATAAAGCTTTGAGATGGCATGAAGAGTATAACAAGATAAGTAACAGGAGCTATTCACAGTAACATCATGTTTTATAAACTTTAGATTGAAAAGATAAAGATATGATTTATATCGGTTCAGTTTTCAGTTATGGTTTGCTAAATATTGGATTAATCCAATTTTATGGTTCTAGTTTTTGTTAAATTCAACTCCCTGGTTATAAAACGTAATCACAACCCCTCCTCAATATTGTAATCATGAGCCTTAACTGTACTGATCTACAGTACCGACTGATATTATCATTTCCTACATAAAAATAACAACTATTTGGATGGAAGATATAATCTAATTTCCCGAGATATTAGCATGTGTATTACGTAACTCTATTCTGAAAGCAGCTCTCAAAATCTTTTAATTCAGAAGGTGGGAAGGCATGTGATAAATGCGAATACATCCCTATTCAACTTTGACTAGTGTTTATCCAGACCAGCATACACTACACAACCTCCATGTCCACCATAATTTAGAGAGGTCTTCATTCACCAGTGGATTCACAAAAGTCTCTATACATGTGCTGCGCCGTAATAAGGCACTGTGGGCAGCTGACCTGCCACCACGCTCACGGTCGGACAGGGGTGGGGGCTCAGGGGGAGGGGTATCCCCCCCCCCCACCACTTCCTAAGACCCCTTAAGATAAGAGCCTCTCCCCCACCCTGTGACCGGAGGTTGACACCCCAGAGCCCCCAGGGGTGGGGGCTGAGGGGGAGGGGGACCCCCCCCACCACTTCCTAAGACCCCTTAAGATAAGACCTTCCAGAAGGTTCTGGGGGGGGGGGGTTCATGAGGGGAGAAGTGAACCCGACCTGGGGATAAAAGGGCAGCCCTCGGTACAATCGGGGCAGTACTCGCCAACTCAAGCTCGAAGACATCTGAAGATCTGAAGACTGGACCAGCGACCCGGGGACCCTCAACCGTGGCTCTCGTAAAGTCGGTTGTAGCGGAGCTGAGGTCGCTCGGACCCCCTGGGACCCTCCCCGAGGCTCTCGCTAAGCCGGGGTTAAAGCAGTCCAGGGCAAGTCCCATACCCTGGGTGGGTCGGTCGGTCCAGCCTTCCCCTAGCCGCCGTCGCAAGGGACCGGCGTGTGCGTAGCACGGAGTGGTTACACTACGCTAGAAGACGAGGCTGTCTCTCCCTTAGGCTATCGGGTGAATGGGGCCATAACCCTTCGTGTTACTGTAGTGTTTAACAAAGTAGTGTTAACAGAGTTTAAGAGTTGTTACAATAAACGCATTGCCTCCAGCCGGCGTCTCCGTGTGGTTAGTTACAGTACACAACACATGTTTATACTCAGGAACAGTACCTTGGCGATGAAGTAGTGAAAGCATGGTATTGTTCAGAGCTTCCTCAATATCCTCTGCAGTATCAAAGCTGTATCTGCCTGCAAACAGACTTAAATTAATCCCACTTCACCATCACTACAGATGGACAAGACCACCATGAGAGTAATAAGATAGCAGTGGCTACAAGGGCTATATTCTGTAAATCGTAAGGACATAATTCACATCTCATATTTATATGAATTTTTTCCAAAATATTCCCCTAGCAGTTGCATTTTCTGATTTTCTTTGCAGACACATGGCCCAACCTTGCCAGACAATTGACACATTGGTGAAAGTTTCCCAAGATTTGCCGATCCTACTATCGCTAGCAAAGGGGACAGAGCCAGGGTCGTTCAGGCAGAAAAGTGGAGATAAGGGTGTGCTGGCAAAAGATGCCCATTCTCGCCCTGTCATCTTGAGAAGAAAGCAGTGAGAAAATATTCTCTGGAACTTGGCCTTCAGGAAACGTTGAGGTTTACAGGAAGTCTTAAATAGTCTTAACTATTGTGGAGGAAGCAGGTGTGGTTGGGTGGTGGGGATGTCGAATTAAGGGCTCCGTGAAGTACAATACGTCATTGATGATTTAAGATATTTTATTGCATACCAGGTGTTATAGTGCCTCACTGAAGTGTTTGAGCTTCTGTATTGTGTGGAACATTTTCAGGGAGACTAATAGCTAGCCAAATGTTTAATCAAACTTGTTCTAAGGAGTAAGATTGTGAACGTGATATTGCGCAGCCAGATAGTTGTTGGCTGTCTCGGCCGGCGCCATCGGTGTTACACGATCAGGGTTGTATTAAGGCTCGGCTAGACGATTAGGGAGAGAGCGAGGGTGAACCTGTGAACCTGTGGTGTTAATAAAGAAGATGCTTCTGAAAAACCTTGTCTTCCACTCCGCTGACACACACATTTATAAAAATGATTTGTGTAAATTTCAGTAAACAATGAATGTACACTACTGCACTGTAACACAACACTTTTGGCCTATCCATTTATAGCACTATGAAACAGTTTTATAAGATATAGCATTAAGAATAGTAAATATTTCATAAGTATAACTAAATCCCATTTTTTTGCCATTTTAATGAAAACTTGGGTTTCTATCTCGTGTTCAGGAACGTGTTTGTGTCGTAAACGAGACTGCCTGTAGTACTCTTTCAGTTTCATTACCATACAATTCGAGCAATTTCGTAATTTTCCAGCAATCTTGGCATTTTACAGATATTTTGGAGTTTTACGGTAATCTTCAAATTTTACATGCTTGGACAAATAAAAACGGCCAGCTTCTACACTTCAAACCAGTGGCATTTACAGTGGTTGTGATTTCAAATGAAATTTTCAGCTTAACAATCTCAATATTCAGTTCAGTTTTATGCTCTAAACTGTATTAGATACAATTGTAATCAGTTAACCTGAATCGGTGGTTGTCATTTACAGCTACTCTTAGCCACTCCTTCAAATGCCCAAACACAAGAATAAAAGCACAGAGGCACAAACAAAAACCATGGCACGGGCGAATGAAACTGAAGGAGAACGTGAAGCAAGGCTGCATATAGCTTGGCAATGTGGTAACGTTTAAGTATTGAGAGCCAATCTGAACGCCGAATCTGGTTGGAACAAATACGTCGATGGAAAAATGATGGGCAGACAAAAGCAGATCATGTGAGCAATTCATCTGCTGAACGTCGATCGATCCGATTGCAACAAATGCGTTGTTTCATGTGTAGTGGTCTAGCGCTCGTTGCTGGCGGAAAAGGGGAACTGCGGGGTACGGCAGTACTCACGTCAGCAGGCCACGATATATACGAGGGGGGGCATCTAGGGGAAAGGTCACAGAAGAGGTCCATCCGGAAGCCCCGGGAACCCGCGAGGAGATTCTAGAAGGGGGGCGTGGCCGGGGCGGAGCAAGGCCACACTGGGAGTATAAGAGGGGGCCCTGAGTGGGACCTCGGGGCTATTGCTGGAAGTGGGATCCCCGTCGTGCTGTTCAAGATCATCATCGTCACCATCTCATTGTCGTCACCATTTCCTCGTCGTCGTCTCCATCTTCACCATCCCAGGGTGCTGTTAGTCAGACAGCCTACTAACTGTTCTGACTAAATAGTGCCGCCGACAATAAACTGTCTTAATAATAATAGTGTGCATCCACGAAGGGTGTGTATTATCCCGATGGTGCTTGTTTAATAAAAGAAGTGCCTCCAGTTATTACTACCTCCGATCTGAGTCACTACACATGCAACATTTTCCAAGGAATGAAACAGAACTGCAGAGTCAAGCTCGGTTCGAAAAAGATTGTCAAGCCACAGCGAGTCAACATTGTCATGAAACGGAAGAGCAGAGTCATGGTCAGTTGGAGGAAGTGTACCAATCCATGAAACGACGAAGAAATACAAGCAATGACAAATGGCCACAAACATTAAAAAACCCAGAGAGCTCAAGCAACTTTGAATGCTGCAAGAGCCAATTATATTATTGCTTAGCCTTCATACATTACAATTTAAGACCGAAGGCCCCAAAGCCCTCCACAGGACTTATGAGAGGAGGGCCCGTGGGACTCGAAATATTCGAGTACTTCCAAAAGATCAAATGCTTATCAATGATACGCATGATTTTATAGTTCTGTGCACTTACTTTCACATGATGGTTCTTTCCCAGACCACTGGTGGTTTGACAGACATACCCTTTTCAAAGTTCCTGAAGGAATGAGATTTGCCGGACATGTGTAGGTCACCACACCCTCTAAGTTGTAATCTTTACCAGACTTTCGTGATCCAAAAGGAATACCTGGGTTATGACAAAATGCCTCTGAAAAAATATTTAAAAAAATACAGTCATCGTAAATTAATGTTCCATTACATCAGAGCTCTAAATTGTCACAAATTAGCACGAGACTCACACATTCGGAAAATTTTTCACTGCCTAATGCTGAAGCAGATGTCACACATTTACAGGATTATAACATTGCTTGAAAGTACCTTTAAAATATTCAAATTCCGCATGTTTTCAGTGCTATACCAGTGTGGTGCCACGACCGCGGAGCAACTCCGCAAGCGCCGCAATTCCCTCCCAGGCCCCGCACTAAACACACACCCACATGCAGCGCATCCACGTAGTGTCCTGGCGGGGGATTGCCTGGCACATTGGTTTTAATACAAAGGGCCCCTAGAGGGAGAGTCCTATGGTTTCACCGGTGCTAGGAGATTGGCCGACCCTCATCGGACAGGTTACATCGCGGTGCCCCTAAATTGGCTTAAAATTGTATGGGCGCAGAAATAAAGGTTCCCTGGGCCAACCGCAATGAGGTACAACTTGAAGGGGAGAAAGGAGGACGGAACATTTAGCAAGGACACAAGAGACAAAGGGACAATGGGTGGTCACCGCAGCCCGCCGGCTGCAGCCGCCACGCAGCACTCGAAAAGGGATGGAGGGTGGCATATTAAGTAGGCAGATGCGCGGCAGCCCTTCCAGACAAAGGGGCAATGGGGGGTCGCCGCCGCCCACCATGCCGCAGCAGCCGCCGCCACGCAGTACTCGGGGGGGGGGGGGACGGAGAGCGGCATATGGGGGGCGAGGGGAAGCAGTAACCGCAGGTAAGCACACACTTGGGCACGCGATACAATGGTACACCGGGCATTTGAAGTTAAGAGAATAAAAAGAGCAGCCCGGGACGATTTCAGTCAGATGTCTTCAACCTCCGGGCCGTTAAGACCCACTCCCTGCCATCCTGTCTCCTCGAGCCACTCGCAGCTTCCGTGTGATGCCAGCGAGTGCTGCCACGAGCCATTGAGAGGTAATGTTTTCACCTGTCCTTCTCCCTCCGACTCTCACAATGTCCGTGCGATGCCGTGAGTCCAGCTTTGAGGTACGTAGTAGGACGCCTGAGTGATTGGGTTCATAGGCAGAGTCAGGCTAAGCCTTTCTTGAGAAATTTTCCCCCTCCAGGTAGTTTGTATTTGTCCAGTTAATAAACTTCAGTTCAGAGTATCGGTGCAGTGTGATTTCTGTGTGTGGGTAGAACCTCGGCGTGGTGTCTGCGATTTGTGTGTGGTGCGACTGAGCGGGGAGATGGTGTGCGCGAGAGAGCGAGCGTAGGGCTGCAGCGTCGGGGTGGTGTCGGTAATTTGACTGTGTGTGTGAGGCACGCGCGTGTATTAAAACATAGACGGCCGCCAACGTGCAAATGTCCGAGCAGCCGAGCCGCGCGAGTATTAGGGCAGGGGCGGGGTGCGGTAAACCCGCTCGCTAACGCTCGTGCGTGTTAACGCAGCAACAATAGCATTAACGGCGAGGCGCACGTGCAAATTTTCGCAGCCCTTTAGCGCTATCCTTGGTGTGCAGCGGAATAGGGCTTAACCACTCGGAGGTAAGCGCGCATATTAATACCGCCGTTTTATTTAGTGCTCGCCTTGGTGTGCAGCGGATTAGGGCTTAACCACCCGGAGGTACGCGCGCATATAAATACCGCCGTTTTCTTTAGCGCTAGCCTGTGTAAAACAAGCACCTGCAGGGGCGCGCGCGTGCACACAGGGGAGGGGTAGACCTAGGTAAACTTAAAACTGCTCAGCGACGCTCGCGCATGTTTACACACGCGTGTGCGAAATACACGCCTGCAGGGGCGCGCGTGTGCACGCCACCGCGTTCGCTTTTGTGGTGGTGTACGTGCGCTTGCGCAAGATAAGCCAGCCAATTAGCTTTGTCCCTCAGAGAGGGCGCTGGCGCGGGGGGGGGGGCAGTCACCCGATAGGCGGGAGCCCGGCGAGAGGCGGCCGAAGAGGAGGAGGGGGGAGTGGAGGGAGTGGACGTTGCGCCCCACCCGCTCACAGGGAGCGGGGATGCGGGCATCGGCCTCCACACCAGTAACCCCATATCAGCACTGCCAACACACGTACCGAGTCCGTGGCACTGAAGTGACCACTCCCCAACAGCTGGCATCTCACGCCAGTACAACCTCAAGTCCCCATTTGCCACTGTCACATACTGTCTCAGGAGTGGAGTGATTCATCCTCCATTACATTTTTAAAAAGCCAACACATTTTTGACATTATTTATTAAAACGTTTGAAATAATGATCTAGAAATCTATTTTTTTTCTCTAAAATTGGCTCAAACATACGAAGCATAAAATAACATAAATCAACAGTTTCAGTCTACCTAATGGTAACCGTTAGTATTATATGCACGCTATTTCCATGGCACACTATTTTTTCCAACACAGGTGAATACATTTACAATATCTTGGACAAGATAAATAGATCCAATACTACGAATTCCAAACATCATGTGAAAGACATTCAATACATAAGGAAACGTTTTGTAATTCAAACTGAAATTATTTACCATAACTTGCAATGTACCTTTTGACTTCGCAGCCACATGATTATTGTGTTAGCATACGTACCATCATCATCGCATATTGGCAGTGAACCATTCCATTTCCCGTTCGACTGACAGGATAGAAACGAGGAGCCATATACTCTGAACCCGCTGTAGCAGGAGAACTGTATTTTATCTCCAACCTTGTAGACTGACTTTCTGGGGTAGAATTCACCGTTTTCAAACTCCAGAGGTTGCACACACGTCATAGCTGTGTGAGATAAGAGATCGTTTTATAATATACTAAGTCAATTCTTAGTTTTTTAAAGACAATTTCAGAAAATTGCGTGCTGTCTTGTGTCCATTTGACATTTTAAAAAGTTAATCCATGTCAATATGTCATTTGTCATTGGTGTGGTGTGGTGTGTATCTCAACATGTTCTGGACATCCTGTATATGGTCCTGAGTTTCCCTAGCTCGTTATGACTTGGCTTGTGAGGATATTGAGGCAATTCTAGATTTAAAGCTTTCGTGACTGCTAGGATCCATACTCTTTGGTTCTATTGGGTAAAGTCACGTAGGTGAAAATAAAATAACAAAAAATCACGACGTTTCGGCCACAACACAAGCGGCCTTCATCAGGTGAAGGGACGAGACTGTCTGGAGGACAGCGCGTGGCTTCTTCCACTCCAGCGATGTAGATGCAGAGCAACAACTACAACTTCACATGCAGGTGGTCAAGCCAGATAACCGTGTCAGGAGCAGCAGAGTGTATCGCTGTGATGTCTCCATCGTATTTGTGGATTTGGCATTGTGTCATTGTATGTTGTATGGTCTGTTCTGGACGACCACAGTCACACACTGCAGAGTTTAAATTTTCCATTTGTGAATTAGGTTTCTACATCTGCCATGGTTTGTATTGATGCGATTTAGGGTGGACAATGAGCTTCGTGGAAGATCAAACCCAGGGATCTTGTGCGTTGAGTCTTTCACAAGGTGTTTGCGACTTATTGTAAACTCCATTCAGCTCTACAAGTATCATCGTGGTTGACTCGCATCATCCATTGATAACCAAGGATGGAGCTGTTAGTTGAGAGGAGGCTATGCAGATAAGTAGTTTACAAAGTGGCTATGTCTCCTAAAATTGTGAAAATTTACTAAAAAAATAAACGTAATACATTTTTAATTCAAATGTATATTATTTCTGCATTGTAATAAAACACATGTTATTATTCAGCTTGTAGAGGAATGATTATGTAACCGTTAACCAGTAGCCCGTTTCAGAATCGATCAACAATTCTGAAATAGCCGGTAATCGTTTACAATGTAAAATTCAGACACAAACATCACTGTCAGTATTGTAACAGATATGACTTAAAACGCTTCGCACCTCCGATTAGAACGGTTGGCTATGTACGATGCGAAAGAAGTTCAACATACGTACATTCTTTAATTTCGAACGTTTATGAGCTGCGAGAAAATAAAAAGGAGGTCATTCCATGGTGGAACGGTACGAGGGAAGAAGCAGAAAGACAATTGCGGTATTACCACAGGGCTGTAGCTCAGTGGCTATTCATAATGCAGGTTAACTGACCACACAGTGCATTATGATTGACTGTCACAAACATGATATGGCCATTCAGGTGTGAAAATGGCTCGCATTAATTATTTGTGGCCTATATGTTTGTTTGTGACATGCTACTTTCACTATATCCCGTGTGAGTCAATACTTACGGTTACAACTTGCTAATATTGAATGTTCTCGAGAGTCACTGAGTAGTGGTGTCCAGCTGCCATCCCTCTGACACACTCTCCATGCGACGGGATACGGATATGCCCCATCAGGGCAGACATAATGCAGTATGCTTCCTGGAATCGGGTTACGAGGAAGAATGACATCTCCCCCTTTGATCTTTATATCCAAGTTGCATAACTGTGCTGAAACACAACACATTGATAACTGCTTATACATCACGAGTGCAAACAAACCTCATTATATGCTAAAGAGTGAGGGCCGCGATTATAAGAGATTGTGCCTTTTGATCAATAAAACAACAGAGGCTACACACTGTATCTCACAACATAGCATTAAGGTTGAAGAAGATGTTAAAGAGACAATTTATGAGAGAAAGCAGTGTGTCTCAAATACATTAGCCAAGCATCATTTTCCACTTACAGGAGACTTCAATGCACAAGTACTCACTAAACATGGAACACTGGGCCAATGTCAGTCCAAAGGATCCAACTCCAACCATACGTTCGTTCAAACATTGACATGTTTACTGGGTAAGCACCAGTTATAATAAATGGGGACATAAGTGAGGTAAGCATGTAACATATCAAGATAATTAAGGCATTTGCCATAACATGACTATAACATATTCTTTGGGTCTTTCGGTAAAGCCATATAGATAGAAAAAAATACAAATAATACAAATAATCACAATATCATGACGTTTTGATCGCAATACAAGCAATCATCATCAGGTGAGAGCACAGCTAATTGTGGCTGTGTTAGTGACTAACTCAGACAGTCGAAAATAACTGCTAACATAGGTAGCTAGGAAGGGAACCACACAGCCAATTATGACCTAAACTGGTTAATAACGTCCTTCAAATTATTGCTCAGTTTATACCCATCTTCTCGGTTGAAATTGTGTCTGTGTTTATATATCTGCATGGCTTCATGGACGAATCTTTGCTGAAAGCCAGTGGGTTTGCAGAGTACCTTCGTCTTGGCAAAATAAATGTCGTGTGTGCCTACAGCGTTAAAATAATGATCAGTCACGGCTGAGGTATTGGTCCTACCGTGTTTCAGATCTGCCTTATGTTCACGAACCCGTTCCGAGACATGTCGCTTAGTTTCCCCAATGTAACTGCTGCTGCAGACACAGCTTAGTTGTAGACACCAGGGTATTGCATGTCAAGATTCGTCCAGGAAGCCATCCAGATATATAAACACAGACACAATAAAAAACCGAGAATATGGGTACAAACTAAGCAATCATTGGAAGGACGTTATTAACCAGTTTAGGTGATAACTGGCTGCGTTATTCCCTTCCTACCTATGTTAGCAGTTATTTTCGACTCTCTGAGTTACATTCACTAATACAGCCACCGTTAGCTGTGTTAGTAAATGGCAGCTTGCCATCTTTTTCCACCTTCATGTGGTGATGTTCCTTTCCGAGCTCTCTCTAGCTTACATTTACAAGCAATTTTTTACATTGACATGCTAATCTCTCACAATACAATGGCCACCCCCACGGCGGCTTACCATCCTTTTCCACTTCCATGTGGCGATGTTCCTTTCCGAGCTCTCTGGCTTATATTTACAAGCATTTTTTTTACATTGACATGCTAATCTCTCACAATACAATGGCCACCCCCACAGCTTCGTTGATCAAGATTTCTCCGATCTTACATTTACATGCAAATTTCATCTCCAGCCCTGCCCTCTGACCCATGCGCTAACCCCATCTCAAACCTTTATACAGTAACTCCCTGCCTTAGCAGCGCTCCCGCCATATATTTTTTCCTGCTTCAGCAGCTCTCACCTGATATCTACGTGGCTCTACCGAAATACCCAAAGAATATTAATCCTGCAGTCACAAAAGCTTTAAGTCAACGGTGACTATAACAGTCTCATACATGTTCACGTTATGATTGGCAGGTTCTGATAAAAGTTTGTATAATTGTCGAATTGATATCAGCCAACTTGTTTGTGTAAATACTGAATGTAAAATCATCATTGGCGTGGTTATGACGAATGTAATAAAATAAGCAGGCCATTTGTCTCCTTCCCTTATGTCTCACCACATAAAATACATCAAAACATTTTAAACACATTCCATCAGCACTTTGATGATAAAACAGTGATTGTTGAACTGGTCCAGACTCTGCTTGGATTAAAATATTGTTGCTGAAAATGTACTCCCAGAAGACCGTGTGACTAACGAGATGTGTAAAAACGTAGGTTTTACACGGGGCAGATAAGGAAAGGAGGGAGGCACATTGTCTGAATATTTAGTTTGTGAAACTCTTGAAGATTGAGGATATATTTCTGCAGCGTGTCCACTATTTATACATTTCTCCTTTTATTTTAATATCGCAAAGATAATCGAGATCGGAGTCTATTAATGTAGACAGAATTTGAGTATCAATCTTCACAAATAGGTGTAAGTCGACGAAGATAGCTAAAGTAAAATATTCCAATGTCTTTAAAACATTGTTGTGGTACAATTATGGTCATGACCCTATATGCCTGCATGCTTTGAGTTTAAGATACATTTGCCACTAAATGTGAAAGAAGTTGCTGTGCATGTTATTGTGTTTAGTTTGTTGTCCTTCAACATACATATATTCAACACTTCCGATATAATCTACCAATCGTATTAGTCTGTGGAAATTGAAATTGACAACTGCTCCAAATTTTCATGTATTTACGCCAATTTAAAATCAATAGGTACTGTCTAATTTCATGTTTAAATACATATTTGGTGACATTCATCGCGGTGAATCACTAAGTCACATCGCTTTAAGACACAGCGCATACCAATGACTATTACATTAAAAAAATATACCAATGACACACTGTGCACGAATACAGTCATCGCTTACATGATAACATTAATTATGAATTTTTAAATGCATTGCTTACCGACACCAAGATGCAGATTCAACAAAAGAATGACATTTGTACAAAACAAATGTTTGAGTGCGGCCCTGCGTTCTCCCATGGTGTTTGTGAAGCAATGCTGGACTGGTTGTGCTGCTCCAATATTGACTCCTCCAATGAGCAAATAAACCCGGTTAGTGCAACGCCTCCTGTCCTTGAGAACCCTGCCAGGGCATTGTTTGGATGATTTTAACGTTAATAAGTACGTGACATTACTGACATTTATAGTTGGTTAGAAACAAATCTTACAGAGATTAACGCTGTGTGGAAATATAACGAGTTAAGTGACAACTTATATCCAATTACACGAGACGATTGAATATCGCGGGGGTTATGTTCCTGGAAAGTGCCACGAAAACCAAAACCGCGATATTCAATACTTAATGCTTACCTAAATAATGGGGTTAGGTACGTGGCAGCCAAAAATAGACATCACGATTGAAATAAGATATGCGCTGTATCCCAAATAAACAAAAAGCAAAGTAATTGAAATAAACATGTAACAACTCTATACAAAAAACATTCCTCGACAATGAAGAGTAATGTGTAGTGGTAGACTTCACTCGGACAACTTTGTTGTTTTCTCCGACACCACTTTGTTTACAACTCGCCGCATTATGTCGATAACTCCACAGTTCTCTGATTGCCACGGCTCGCTCGCCGCGCTCTGCCCGTCTCCGCTTCCCCCCCCCCCGTCTTTCTCTGTCTCCCTCCGTCGCTCGCTGTCTGTCCCTCTCTCCGTCTCTCGCTGTCTCCGTCCCTCTCCGTCTCTCTACGTCTCACTCTGGTTATCTCTCCCCGTCTCTCTCTGTCACTCGCTGTCTCTGGCTCTCTCTCTGTCACTCGCTGTCTCTGTCGCTCTCTCTCTCCGTCACTCGCTATCTCTCTCCGTCTCACTCGCCATCTCTGTCTCTCTCCATCTAACTCCGTCTATCTCCCCCTGTCTCTCTCTGTCTCCGCTTCCCCCTGTACTCTCTCTCCGTCTCTCCGTCTCTCCCCGCTTATCTCCCTGTCTCTCTCTGTCTCACTTGCCGTCCTTGTCTCTCTATGTCTTGCTCTATCTATCTCTCCCTGTCTCTCTTTTTTTACGATCAGAGGAAACAAGAAGCTCGGTGTAGTCGGCACTTTGCTCCGTTCATCATTTCGTTTTTTTTATGCTTTCCTTAATGTACCCCCCCCCCCCCCCCCCCCCCCCCCCCCCCCTTTTAAATGACTCTCTCTGTGTCTCCGCTTCCCTCTGTACTTTCTCTCTGTATCTCTGTCGCTCTCTGCTTGTCTCTGCTTGTCGCTGCTTGTCTCTCTCCACTGCTAGCTGCTCCCTATCTCCTCCGTAACTACCTCTCCGCTAACGCTAACTCTCCCTATCGCGATTTACTGTCTTTGGGGTTCGGCTCTCAATCTATTCTTCCCTAACATTGCCAGCTGTCCTCTTCGTATCTCTCCACCTCTCGCCAACAACTGCCCAGCAACAACTCCCCCTCCGTTCAAATCACCTAGCGTTTTATCCCCTTTCCAATTAGCCTCAATTAATTGCCACGTGGCTCGCTGGCATTTTCCCGCCAGCTCGCACCTATCCCACGGTCAGACTTCGAGACGCCGCCACTTAACGCTAACAGCCTCTCGACCAATCACAACCCTCGTGCCACGACTCCCTTAATTACTTCGGGTTGTTTATGCCACCCGTGACTCGACCACCTGTTCGACCTCATGTGACCCACTCTCCTTGTATGTCTGTATGTACTGTATGTGGCCAATTGCTATGCGTATCGTTTACTCCACTACACTACCATAGATTCGTGCCGCATTTCGCTACGGTCGCTAGACCATTGCACGTGTTGACTGCTAAAAATCAGATGTTTAAATGGGGTCTGGAGGAAGAGGCTGCATTTTTTGCCCTCCGTGAACAGCTGTCTAACACGCCCACGCTTGAGTATCTGGATTTTTCACTGCCATTTATCCTTGACACCGACGCTAGCGATACGGGCATCGGCGCTGTCTTGTCTCAAATTTGGAACGGTGTGGAAAAAGTCGTCGCGTACGGCAGCCGTGTCCTTTCACCTGCAGAATGTCGTTATTGTGTTACCCGGAGGGAACTTTTGGCCATTGTTTATTTCGTCCGCAAATACAGACCTTACCTCTATGGCAGGGAATTTGTTGTCCGCACCGATCATGCAGCTCTTCAATACTTCTTGAAAATCGAGCAGCCAGCTGGCCAACTCTCTTGTTGGTTTGAAATTTTGCAGGAATTCTCTTTCAGCGTCGTTTACCGTAAAGGCTCTCGTCATTCCAACGAGGATGCTTTATCGCGACTGCCACAATCGCTTCATTGCCCGTGTTTGTCTGGGACGAGTCGTTGTGGACCCGTTGCCTTAAGGACGAGTACGGCAATGTCTGCGGTCGCCGCTTCTGAGCCTCTAGACATGGGTGGGCCGGTTGACAGCGTGTTGCAGCTTCCTTGCTCCGTATGGATGCACAAGCAGCTGCTTGACGACTCCTTAGAGGATCTGCAGCGTCGGGCAGAGCACACGCAGGTGACTTCCACTTGTGGCGATGGTGGCCAGCTGACTCTTCTTGATGGCCTTGTGATGTGGACGGAGGAAACGTTGGATCATTGACGGGTTGTCGTTCCTCTTGCCCTCTAGGGTGGCTTGGTTCGTGCACTGCACGGGGAGAAATTGTTACACCTTGGAGTTCAAAAGTCGCTGTTGACATTACAACGGGATTATTATTGGCCGGGGATGACAGCCAATGTCTCCAAATGGATCAAATCTTGTACGGAATGTGCTCAGAGAAAACCGCCGCAGCACAAAAATCTCACCCCCCACTGCAATCTATTTCGGTTTCGCGTATCGACGAGTTGGTGGAACTCGATGTCTTAGGGCCCTTTCCAGTCACATCTAGAGGGAACAAATTTAATTTGGTAGGAGTTGAATATTTTTCTCGCTGGCCGATGGCTTGGCCGCTACCGGACCAGTCGGCTGCCTCTATTGCCGACACGTTTTTGAATGGGTATGTTATGGATGAAGGTGCTCCTGAACAGCTGCTTACGGACCAAGGTCGGAACTTCTCCTCCAAGTTGTTGCGCGAGGTCTGCGATGCTTTAGGCACTGAGAAAATCAGAACATCACAGTACCACCCTCAGACAGATGGAATGGTCGAACGTCTGAACAGGACCCTGTCCGCCATGCTCTGAAGACGATGGATGCCAAGCAGGCAGATTGGGATCTGCATGTGGCGAGCTTGCTCGCCGCGTATAATGTAGTGGGTATATAGGGCAGCTTTTCCTCAGATGGATGACAACGGCATCGACACCCTCGTCCTACAGAGAATGCTGTCACTGGCGCGGGACTTGTGGATTGTCGTTAATGCAGTGGACGATGATGACCTGAACTCACTGCGCGCTGCCAAAAGTATTCAGGCGCACCTTCTCCTCCAACGTGAGATGGGGGTCGCCGCCTGTGCTGCACCATCGACACAGACACTCACGCAGAAGATGCCCAACCCGACCAGGCCTTCGCAGCGGCTCGGGCCTCGGGTTGGAGGGCCGATGATCGGCCCGCCAAGGTGATTCTCGGCAGAGGGAATGTGCAACCCCGTGGCCGGAGCACCGGATCACCTGCTACAACTGCGGCCTCCAATGAAACGTGGCGTCGGGCTGCCGGGCACCTCGGCACCGTGTCCCCGGGCCCCCACCGCCGTTTCCTCACCCGCCCTCGGCTCCGCATCACCCTCAGGCATGTCGTGGCACCTAACACATACGGCCCCTGCCACCATCATCCGAAATTCATCGCACTGTACCGCGTATTCACCCCGAGTCGGGTGTAGGGGGCAGAGGGTTGTTAAGGCCACGTGGGTGCTCCGACTGGGTAAGTGGTCGGAGTTGGCAAATAGAGTCGTCGCCGCGACCGCAAGATCCTCCGTGATCATTGGCTCGATCGAAGGGGTTGCATTTCGCATGCAAGTAGACACAGGGGCATCCGCAACCATCATTCCGGAACTCTTTTTGTCATTTTTCCTAAAGAAATGCCAGTTGCTAATTCCTGTCGAGGTACCATGTTTCGCTGCTAATGGGGGATCATTGGGCATAATCGGCCAAATTAATGCCCAAGTCTGCATTGGAGACATTAAATTGGTTTGTCACATTCTGGTATCCTCGTCCCTCACCGTGCCATGCCTACTCGGCACTGATTTCCTAGGCAAAATGTCAATCACGATTCTTGTGGACCAAGGTTGCATCAAGCTCCCTTCTGGTCGACGGATGTCATTCCTGCATTCCCCTACCCGCTTGCGAACGGCCTGCACTGTGGTACAAGCACCGGCGTCCCATATGGTGGGTATCCTGGCGGGCGCTCAAATGCTAGTTCCCTTGCGACTACGGAAACCGCTTGATTCGGTTGCAATGGCGGACAGTATCATATTGGGTCCTTCCAACACCATGGTGCGAGGGCTAGAACTTGTTGGTGCACAGACGATAGTATCGAGCAATAGAGATCCCTTCATCCAGGTGCTGAATGCCGGGCTGCGCACGACGGTCATACCGCAGGGTACCGTGCTTGCTCACGCGGCACCTGTGCCCCACGGTGACTCGCTTGTTGGCCACATGGGCAACACACCTCGGTCGCGGCCGCATTCGAACCTTGCTGAACAGTTGCTAGACTCACTTCGCTCGGCTGCTGGTAAAATGTCCGATTCCCAAGAGGTTGAAATTGTGCGTGCTCTTGCGGGAATTCTCTGACGTATTCAGCAAGAGCAAATTTGATATTGGGCACACTAATTAATTGAGCCATCACATTGATACGGGAGATGCCACTCCCTTTTGGCAAAATCCATTTTGCCTCAGCCCGGCTGAGAAGGAATATATCCGGTTGGCCGTTAATGACATGTTAGCCGCGGACATTATTTCCCCTTCTACCAGCCCATGGGGAGCCCCAATTGTACTCATCAAGAAGCACGATGGCTCTTTGAGATTCTGTGTAGATTTTCGGAAACTTAACAAAATCTTCGTAGCAGATGCGTATTCGCTTCCTCGAATGGACGAGTCGCTGGATGCCTTCGCATGATATTTTTATACACTGGACCTTTTGTCCGGATTTTGGCAACTCCCTTGGATGAGGCGTCCAAAACTAAAACCGCTTTTCGCACGCTGC